ATGAACTGCTTTCGTCGGCATCCGAATCGTAATTTATTTAATCGTCGATCCTTCAACATTTTAAGCGCAGCTGAACGATGTTTACTTTGAAAACACTTTCAGTTTCAGTTATAGCCACTCACACGCCTCGCGTTTCTCGCGTTTCACGTCGATGATGTGCGATTTAAAAACCCGTGTTCAACTCACCGGAAATTTATAGGCGCCAAGCTCACCTCACAAAGAGCGATCCCGTCGTCGCCGCTTCACTAGAAATCCCAACCCGCTTTCTCATCCCTTATTCACCTGCGGTCGAGCGTACTCTTTCTCGGGGGGTTGAGGCGTGTATAGCCACGAGGGGGTAGTTCTCTGGAATATCGCACGAACGACTGTGGCACCTAGAAAAGCGGGGGTAGCGGGCACGCTTATTACGTGCGCTGGAAGCAAATGAGAAGCTATCGCTGCACCTCCAAATCGGATTCTCATTAAAGTCCTGGTTTCAGCGGAAATCGCGTTTTATTGGATCTTTGATTGACGAGATTACTGCTGAAACGCAAGCGCCGATACCAAACGCGGTCTAATCGCCCAGTCACAATGAACCTTTCTACTGGCGTACCTTTATCCTACGTTTAAACGGCTCTTCTTTTTATTAAATTAAAGCAGCCTTCGCGGTTGATATGACTTTGCTAATGTTTTAAAAAACTATTTAATAAAAATCTATATTTATGTCTTATCAAATTTATTCCGTGTCAAAATTCTATTTCCGCAGTTCGACGCCTTTTCTAAAAGTGTTGATATTCGATTTATGAAGTAGCTTAAGAACAATGCAATACGATATAATAATGACGTCGGTATCTGCCACTGCTGTTTCGTGGAAAATCACCTTTTATCGCCAATCAACGAGTAAATTACCTCCTCTGCCGCAATGCGCCATTATTTTGCAGGGATAGTAAAAATTAATCGGCTTAGGCATCGAGTTGCGCCGTGAAAAACGAGCGATAAGCGAGGCACTTGTCTTCATAAGCAAATTAACTCCTTAATTACTTTGCTCGAATAAACTTGAAATACTTCCATTTACAATACTACGCACCGAAACTACACTCGAGCACGCTTGAGTCTTGCAAAACCCGGCTGCTTCAAACTTGTTACGTTGGAACAGGAATTTGAGGATTGAAATAGTCCGCTTTAACACGCAGTTATTGGAAATGTCTTACTTGGCCGATTTTTATCAGCAGTACAGTGAATTCGTGCTTTCGATGTCGGTTTTCGAAGGGGAGCAACAAAATTGATGTTTAAATCAGCTCGTGTACCAATTACATGCTTAATGATAATCCATAATGAGGGCAAAGTGCTGACTAATATGTGACACAGTTGCTCTTATATAAAAACGACTCGACTGAAAGATTAATTCCAGTTTGTCAGTTTAAAATATATATTTAGAGTTTGTAAATGCGCCAGATTAAATTATGACGGGCTTTATTGATATCGCCCAATATTCCCTAACAATAAGCGTAAAGCTGATAAATTGCGCTTTAAATAATATCGAGTGTTGGGTGAAACAATGAAAATTCGCAAATGAATGTTTTATGGGTTATACGCAAATTTAATGTCATATCACGCACAGCCTCACTAAATAATACAGCTAACAACATGAAACGATATTGATCGAACGTAAATAATATGCATACAAATATGCCGAACGTGCGTGTACGTGAATGACTCGGAACAGTTTTACACATAGAAATGTATATAAATATGCACCGAAGGGGTTATACTTTCCTCACTCACCTCGCTTGTCAAGCTAACGCATTGATAATACATGAACGTTAATTAACTTTTGTATTATAGCGTATATTTTTCGTCATCGGTATAATTTTATGCAGGTACAAAAATAAAATTTTCGATGCACTTGTAAATTCCATTCATATGGAATATCGGCGCGTAAAGCACAATTACCATAGAAAAGTCGAAATGTTTACTTTATTCAACATTGCATGCTTTATTTCAAATTTGATAAAGCAAAGGTAAAACACTTTACACTCGACACAAATGTACCTGTAAGGGAAATAAAAACGCACATACGCCGATCGTACTTAGCTGTGCTGGAAGCATCGATCAGACCGATTCGCAATCCGATAGCTCGTAAAGCGTATAGAGTTCATATATTTCGTTGTCTTGGAAAGGGGGAAGAATGGAAAGAGAGAGAGAGAGAGGAGGGAGAGAAGGAGGGAAAGAAAGGTGCCAAGGCAAAGGGAGAGCGCTTTTCGTGTTACGACATCCAGCTGCAGTTTGAGAAAAATGACCCGTCTCGTAGTTTCTCCCTCTCGTAACGAAAAATCCCGTTCCCGGCGATATATCAGATCGTGTCGCGTCTAAAACCGATGGTGCAACTTTTGTCCAATAACGCGATACGTAAACGTCCGTATACACGGCCAGCGAAACCCATCCAGAGCAGATAGATATATTTGTGCGAATGCTGGGGGGAAAGCCAGTCCGCTCTATCCTTTCGGCCCCGATCTCCACGCTAGAACAGTCGGCAGACATAATTCTTTCGCGAATTGCCGATGCGTTTCAAAAGTGGCTCTTTGTCGTAACCAGAAGCGCCGTGAGCACTCACGAGACTCCAGGCGCAAAACATCGTATAAAATCGAGATAGGAAAGCAAGCAGTCCGCGGGCTTTCGACTCGTTGTCCGGTCAATTCTGCATCGCCGGACGAAAAAGCCTCGCATACACGCGTATATTTTTTGTCTGGAACACATTGGGAGGTCCAAAGAGATTTTTTAGTGTCTCAAATGGCTTCCAAAACGAAAAAGAATAAATAGCAACTTTTACCGTTGCTCGTCGCGCCGATGTAATGATGATAAAATGCAAATATCATTTATCAGAATCTTATCGTTTCCTAGTCTCCACTTGTATTTTGCGCTATTTCCGCCCGACAGAATCGTATCTCTCCCGTGATTAGATCAGCTATTAACGTCGTAAAAAAGTTTGAATTCTCCCCACGCGAGCGTTCGCTGCCTTAAAAATAACGTAAGGAACAAAGATAATGCTACGAATGTGACAATAACTTATATATATACGCGACGGTTACGTGTGCGAATGTCAACGTGTTGAATGGAAGGGCGACCCTGCGGGATCAGTACACGCGAGGAAAAACCTATAATATAGCGTACACATCAAGCGCTTTTTTTCCTGCTTTTTTTCTCCTATTCGCGTCGTATAACGTTTGGAAGGGAAAATGATATAGGTTAAAAGTACGTGAGCGAAATATTTTACGCGCGTCCCCATGGCCAGTCGGAAATACGGAGAGTATCGTCGCGGGTTGCTATTCTCGAACGAAACCGGCAGACTCTGGCAGAGGAAAAAGATCGAGCGGGGAGCTATATCGCGTTTTTACAAAGAATCCCCCGATAGATATATGGCCGGTATCAGAAGCCACATGCGTGTTACACGAGAAGATATGGGGGTTGCGTTTGGATAACACGACTAAGAAGACAGTGCGCGAAATTGTATTGGAAGGCGATACAAATTGCAGATTGATATATCGCCTAATTAGGTCGATCTCGTCCCGTTCTTTTCGAACCGGAAATTTGTTCAACGATTATCAACTTCTCCAATTGTTTGTTGAAAATATAACTAAGAACTGGCCGTACGACTCAATGCCGAAGGCAATAAGTGCGCAAATATTTATCGTTAAATCCAGAATAAAGACACAACCTTTACCGGATGCACTCCCATTCTCAGGGAACGGGGCGGATAAAATAACGCAGGGATAAAATGCGTGGCATATTTTTACGATTTTTCATAATGTGCGAGGCATATGGCACTGTGGCGGCTGTCGCTCCTTTACAGCACTGGCTTCTACTTCACCCTTCGGCGTTTCGGTATTCAGGCCACGCGCGCCAAAATCGCCAGGTGGTAAAAACTCGAATGAGGGACGAGTGCAATGACTCTCGAGACGTTACGATACTTAGAAATCTTTCTCGTTGTTGCAAGAGATTCGAGCTCAAAGAGAAAAAGAATGGGACTTTTCGTGTTATTTTATCAGCCAGCAAAAATCGATAACGAAAAATAAATAGAAATCGCCGTGAAACGTTCATTACATCGAAGAAGCAAATATTTTCGCGAACACAAACAGTTTAAATCTAATTAAAAAGAAACTTTATTCCGTATTACATTTCAACGGAGAAAGCTCGACAACTTTCCTTATTTCTATCGATAAGTTCTTCCTCTGCGACGACGCGCAAGTGACTTTTCTTCGATACGTTTTTCATTAAGAAATAACGCGAGTCAGCAATATTTCCAAAGTACGGTAGAATAATTCGCTTCCTCATGCACTGTTTATACCACTCATATTCCTCCTTCATCGAGCCTCTTTGTCGAAGTAACTCCGCAAGACGGCTCGACTGCCGAGGAGCTTTCGTGCTCACTTTAATGAGCTTACCCTGAAGGCTTCTGACGTACGTCTCGACGTCGATGCTTCCCTTAACGCCTACAGCCAGTTCTCGTAGGCCGTTCTCCGAACTCCCGTAATCATTTTCAACTTCGCAGGGTCGACTGCTCGCAGTCGCGTAAAATAGCCGACATTTGTCACCATCACGTAACACCTGGGTGGAAGGAAGAGTCCTGGGAGAAATGTAATCCGGCGAAGACGAGCAATCTCGCGTTATATCCCCATCGTGCGAAAAACAATTATCGGATTTACAAAAAGGAGCGGAAATTTGTTTATAAACTCGGAATTTCTTGTATCTACTATAACGTAAGCATACGTGGGAACAAACGAGAGCAGCTTTAACGACTTCGAACTTATCAAGTTTCCTTACTTACAGACATCCAATAGCGTCCCATAGCTCTCTGCATATCGATCAGGGCGCTTCTGTCTGCTCCTTTAATGCCGAAGAAAACGCGCACTCGCAATAACTTGGGCAGCGACTGCTCATTTCGCTTGGCTAAAACTTCGTTCCGAGTTCTTTCAGAAACTACTTTTTTGCCAAAGGGGAACAGCCAATTGTACGGAAACGAATAAGTGCTTCGCGGTAATTCAATTCTATCGTAATCCGTCCGTTCGTCAGGCGTAACCTACGGTTTTGTTGCAGGATATTTACCAGCTCTTATTAACTTCAATTTGATATTAAAGCCACCTTCGTGACTTATTACGAGAAGCTAATATATACTTATATGTATACGTATAAAATACAATTACTCTTATATCTTTTCTTTTACATTTATGAAATTACGCGAGTGATTACGAAGTCCAATTGACGCAATAACAATTTGTTAATAATTACGGAAGAACGTAATGCCGTCGATTAGCTAACCCGGTATTGACAGAATGTTTCCTTTGATCCCAATTCCGGTTTCACTGGCACAAATGTAATCAAGCGATGAAGTTCCGGTCGACGTGAAATTGGATACTGGATCATACTCATCTCGTCGCCAAAGACGGCTGCCACCTCTTGCTCGCGTCTAACCGATCGATGAAGGTACTCACAAGCTGTCAGATCACGATTCATCGCGAAAATTCTGTATTGACTTCTTGCAGGAAACTTGAGCGTTTCGCAATATCGTTCGTGTTTGCAATGGATCCTTGCCTCTGAGTTGGCGTCGTCTTCTCCGCCGCTTCTTCTTTCGTCGCCGCGTTCGAGGGTGTCGTTGGTGCACTCGCGGCCTCTTCGCACACACCGGCGATCTTCGCTTTGATAATAACGCGTGGTACCGTCACTTTTAACCTCAAGCGCATTCCCAAGAATACCGACAGTTGTGAGAACTGTTCGCGAACCAACTCCGGAGGATTCTCGAAACTTGTGAGTCGACATCGACCTTCCGCCGCAAGTAGCACATGTCTTCCAGAACGTCAAGTCATCGTCGAAAATCTAACGACGTCATGACGTTTTTTTTTTTTTTAATAAGGATGATTATATTAAGGTTGAGCAATCTGTAGAGAGACTATAGGGAGGGAGACCGCGGGTAAGTTTGCACCGTGCAAGTTTACTGACGAATCAATTGACAAAAGCACACACGAAGACTTGGGCGTTGCGTATACCGATAATACGTTTACGTTACCAGGCACGTGTACCGGTATGCGCGACTTTGATTACCTTCAGATTAACTTCGTCCCCTATTAAAACTTCGTAATGACCTCTTCTCGATATGCTGACGCGGAAATTGTCGGGCATCGATAAAGTACAGCTAACTGCTGACTGATCGTAGGACACAGTAGCGTGGCCTTTGTGCTCCATGCGGAAAGTCAACAAGATCGAGACAAAACCGTCCGCGATCGATACCCTCGCCGGTTTCTCTTGGCATCCGACGTACGGCACCGACGAATCTTCACGCGAGAATTCACTGCCGGAAGACATTGCGACGGTGGCTCGATATTCCTTCGTGACTCCAAAATATCGCTGCAATTCGTTTTCCGTCCATTCGCAAATTACCGGTTGTTCCTCTATTATATAACCAGTAATAATACGCGTGCCATCTAAAGAAGACGCAAAGAGAGTTTGATGATAAAGCTTACGAAATATATTTCTCTCAACATTTATATATTTCTTAGCACACATTATGTACCAGGGAAGGTAACGACCAATTCTCCATTTGAACGAAGTAACGTATCGGTACCGTCGGCACGACGTGCGAATACCTCGTTGACCTCGTAATCCGACGTTGTCCTAACGAGCAATCGATCGTGTTCACTTACGACCAGATCGTTCAGCACCTCGTAGCATCGACCGTCGTAATTCACCACCAAGTATCGCAACACTTCACCCGCGGCGAATGCTCCTGTTATCAATGAATTGTCTCCGATGCTCTAAGACAAAAGCGTTTAGAGGTGACTAACATTAGGCATTGTCTCTCGCAGCAAGCATTCGTATAATTTTGTTCCGATTTGCACAGCAAATTTTCCGAAAGTTTCTGGCATACGGGTATAAAAAAGGGATAAGAAAGGTGATAACACTTTTGTTTCATAATCACCTTTTATCTTAATACGTTTGTTAGAGCGATGAATTAATTTTTTCATACCACTGAACAATATTTCGAATTTTTGTCAAATAGTTTAACATTGCAGAAATTATTTTTTTATCACCAATCTTACTTAGTCACTAGCGATTATTTTTTATTTTCGGTTTACGTGGAAACAAAACAGATTTTTCCGAAATTTATACTAGTAAATTTGAAGGGGGGGAAAAAAGAAATTAAATCTATCTTAAAAATCTGAATTATCAAATCGTTCAGGTTATTTTCCAATGTCGTTTCGACCAATTAGAATGAAACTTAACAGTCACGAATTCTTTCGCTGGCGGTACATGCTGCTTCGACAGTTGTACGTCCACGATCGATCCGTTGGAACGCGTCTCTGTGGAATCTATGACTTCACCACTATGCCTCGAGTTGCTCTTTTTGATCCTAAATTCTGCAGAAGAATCCTCAATTTAACTGAAAAATTCTCGTTCGCTCTGCAGTTGACCCGCGTTCTTGTATACTTTTTGGGGCCGTCTCGTGGATGGATTCATCGCGCGATTGCGGTTTGTCGAAGTCCATGCACGTCACGATGACGCCATTGGGGCGGAAGATGACGACGGTATTGTCATCCAGATACTTTAAGACGGTTCCGTTTCTGAGAAAGTTCCGGCAGATTTCACCGGGTGCACCTGCGCACCCGGGACGTTTCGAAACGTATGACTGCCGAATGCAAAATGGATTTTTGGTGCCGTCCCCGATGGTTGGTTCTATCAATAATCCCGAAGGCCACGAAGCACGAAAGTCGAAAGTCAAATTTTGCCAATGTGAATCGTATGAGTTTTCAACTGCGGAATACAGAGGGAAAATCATTCAACTAATATAAAGATGTCTCTTTTCTACCTTTTCTAACCCTCGCACAAGAATCATCAGTTATTTTCTAACTGTACCATTATTTGATAAGCGATTAATAATTATAGGGCCAGATTATTAATTACCCGGCTCTCTCCTGTTTCGGTAGAATCCTAACACAATTCCCCTTTTCGTAGTTAAGTGAAATGCGTTGGCCGACTGATGGCGACTAACTCCGCCAGACAATCGTAAAGTGCAGTGTCGCAGAGTAACGGCGATGCGTAAATCGCGGTCGCCGTGAAGCCAGTTTTCGAGTTCAACTCGCACCGATGTATCGTCGTCCAAAAGAAACTTTTTGCTATGATGAATCACTTGAACACGAAGACCTCCAAGATCGTATCCAACGAAGTCGTACGGCCCGCCCGTCTCGACACATCGGGACGATAGAATTTTTTTCACCGGTAAGAAGGACGTATCGACATCATCTATCTTTGTGTCCGATTTTTTCTCCGTCATTGACGTTTTTCTACTCATAACTCTTCTATCCGCCCGTTTGCTTCCGTTGTTCGCCATCGGCGCCTCGTTTCGTTTCTGTCTTGTCATTTTCCTTCCCTCGACGTTCTTCGCCGCCGCCGCCGCTGCCGCCGCCGCCGCCGCCTCCTCAAATTCCTTCGTTTCGAAAATTTTCTTTTGCCCGTCGCGACCCGGAGTTTTCTTTAGATGACGCGCTTTCAGTGAATCCGGAAGCACGAAGCACTCGTCGTCGAATATGATCGCGTCGTCTTCCACCTCGATGGATCTCTTCATAAATCTTCCTGTCAAGTCCATCCTACGCGATTGGCGCATCTCCCGCTCTCGTTTTATCCAATTCTCTTCTTCCCCCACGATATATTCGAAGAATTCATGGAGTCCGATGGGCGTACGTATAGTCGACAGGCACCTTTCTTCGGACACGTTATCCACCGCGTTGTTGTTGCTAAAGTAAAGCAGCGTCGAGTTCGTCGGCTCGAAGTATCTAGCCGCGAAACGATCGAAACTTTGGAAACACTCGCGGGCGACCTGAAGAAAAACCCGCTTCGAGAGTAACTCGACGTCTTCGTATTCTTCGAGACTTGGTCTTTCGTAACTTCTCTTCTTGAAGACATTCTCGCGCAGATATCCCGGAAGCAATGTCTCTCTAGCGTCTGTTAACGCGAACAAAAGCGGGCATTCGGTGAATGCGACTACCGGCTTACAATAATCGATCTCGGTGTCGCTTTCAGAACGACGTAAACTGGACGCGGCGATCGGAAGCGACATAAAATTTGGCACGCTTCGCGCTCTTCTTATCCTTGATCGCGCGTGTTTCTTTAATTCTGACAATTCATCCCTCGGCGGTTGCGCCAGTCGTGCTTCTGCCTGGCGACTGCCTTCGGAAAAGATTATGCGGTCAAACATCAAGAGATGCAAGTAATGTACAACTTCTTCGCGACTGACCACTTGCCCTTGATTAAATGCACGCGCGATGTTGTCCATATGGCGGTAATACATGTCGGACTTTGATCTCGTCGGTGCTGCATGATTCCGCCAAACGCTAATTATTCTCGGGTCCCGCAGAACTCGCAAAACCGAATCGTCCAAATGAGTTCCGCGATCGAGAAATTGACGAATGATCATGCCCAAAGTGTCTCCATATGGTATAACTTCGAGATCAGAAGGCTGCGACAACTGACTGGTACCGTCGACGTATTCATCGGTAAGCTCGTACTCAAGATCAAGTAGTTTCAGCTTATCCTGCATATTGAATACGGGGCTTCGCTCAGCTGTCGTTGATGTATTCCCGCGCCTCGTATCGGCCCCGTTAAATCCTGTATCGTGATCGACAGGGAAATGTCCATCGGACGATGTCGCGAGATTGTGTTCGACCTGCAGAAGTATCGCGCTCAATATCAGCGGAACGTCGGCGTATTCGTTCGGTATACCATTTAGTGTATCCTCGTAAATCTTAGTATCTATTGTCTCGTCTCTTTTATCGACGATTTTTTCCTCCAGTCTCATGCTCCTAAGGTATTTTGCATGCTGTCGACAAAGATCGTACAAATGATGCAAAGTAAGAAGTACTTTATCGTACATGTCTCGCTTCAGAGACTCTTTCCCGGTAGCGTTAATCGTTTCTGGAAAGACTGATGGGCAAACGGTAAGAATGATTACATTAGAGTACATCGGATAAACCGATAAATTAGCAAATCGTTGGCGCGTAACCCTCCAAAATTCGAGCAGCTCGGTTTCATTGACGCGATAATCCACAGAGGAATGCATTTTGTCTCGGGCCGTTGTATCCTTTTCCTCTGTTTCGTAATACGCAGCGCACTGCTCGTTGAAAAGCTTAATCTCTAATATGCAGGTCAAAGGAACTCCGATGCTTAACAATTCCGCTGGTAAATCAGGATTGTGAAACCCGCTAAGTACAATGTAGAGTTTCGGTCCATCAAGAGGTACGTTATCCACATGTGAGTGTATATTCACTTTGCCGTTGAACATGTATTCAGTCTCGCTGCTGTAGGCTCTTCGAGGCTCGGTAGTGCTTCGAGAAGAGGCTGAGTGAATGAAATTACTACCATTATGCAAGCTGTACCGCAAAGAGAACACGCGAACAGAAAGAAGATAGTCAATATATCGTGCTAACTGTAACTTATCAGAGAAGGAGAAAACAGTAGGACGTATTTATTACCGCGTATTGCGACACAAGTGTATCATAATGTTAAAGGCTTATCTTTAATGTTCTTGAAATAAAAAACGACTGGCATATATCATTTACTTGAGCCGTCAGTATTGCGAATTGACCGACATTCTTCGTCGATTTTGCGGTCTAGATCCGCCTGTGCCTCGAGTCTCTCAATGTGCTCGATTTTGGTGCGATAGATCAGATACTTTATGAGCCGTGCAGTCAGCCAGGCAGAGAGATGACCATTGTTTTCGCTTAAGACCGTGTTCGCGTAATGACAGATACTCTCGACGGCAGGACATTTCTCTGGATCCTGTTTTGACAGCGTTCTCACCGTGTCCATCGTTTTCTGATAACTGAGGGTATAAATACACGCCTGCTCCTTCTCTTCAACGGCTTTGTTGAAGAGAAAGATGTTACGGCTGTTCGCGACAATTGTCTCCACCATCATTGTCACTATACACCACCAGTGATCGTCATTGATCGATATTGAATCTAACGCACTCTGCCAATCATCCTTATTATGTATTTTCTGATTTTTATTAGTAATCTTAGTTTTTCGAGATTTATTCATGAAGGTTATTTTATATCTGAAAACACCTAAGCATGATAATCACACGTGAACGTATCAATAAATCGCCGACTAAATGTGAGCACTGTCTAATTTTTATCGAAACACGAGTCATGGAATAATAAATCATGTAGAAGTATTGTATCGCGGAATAATGAATTGTGTGGATTCAAATATTTATTTTAATATAATTACACAATACATATATTCCGTGTAAACAAATAATTTTAACATCATTACATTGAATTATTTGTGAAAGATATTATTTAAAAATTACGTAGATACTCAAATCGGTTAATTCGAAAATGCATAGGTAGTTATGGAATTTATTTGGAAACAGATTTATACAGATATAAAACTGCGCGTGCAAGAGTCGTAACGATTTGTGTCCGACTAAATGTTGCAGAGAGTGATCCGTCCTTTTTTTTCCGCCATGGGATAAAAGTAAATCGAGCATTTCACACCGGGGACACTGGTAATGGAAAACGTATTACCGGAGTCGTAAGTTTCGTCAGTAGGGACACGGGGCTCCGACATTATAACACGGATGTGCAGGCTGTACTTAACGACGAAACTCCGTGGAAACTGTAATTTTCGTGCGAGGGGAGGAAAAAGTAGTCGATGCTGTGCACGGGACGGCCGTGGCGTGGAACGCGTGTAAAATACGAGCGCGGTAAAAAAAAATTAAACAAATGGGATGCCTAAACGTGCAAAGTTACGCGTGAAACTGCTCTCGCATGTATACCTCGGTTTTTTGCGAGACAAGCGTGACGCGACGATGTTCGTCAAAATCATTGTTACGTATCGATAGATGCAAACATGCAAGTTGCTTGCTATAAATTTTTCATTTTATAAAAATAGCGGCTAGTAAAGACATTTTACATAAAGTTTTGTTACGGTGTAATAAAATATTTGCAGTATAATAAAACGCTTCATTATTTGTGTATATATTTTAATTAAATTGATGTTCTGCTATAATTCCAATTCTCCAGTGGAAGCACCGCCTATTAAATTTATTTGAAAACACTGAGCAATTTAATTAAAATGTATATGGATGCGCTATCATTGAAATTTTATCGCAAAATAGAAGCGCACAAGATTACATTATTTCAGTCATTGGAAAAATAGGTGAAAATTACGGAGAGAGATAACTAAAAATATATTACAAACATATTATAAACGTAATGGAGGTCTCAATATTCGCTTTTCTCGTTTTCTTAAACTCTTTCGCCTGCCCTACTTTATTCATAGACAACCATTTTTATTTTCTTATCGTCTTACGAATTATGATATCAATCTTCACTAGTGTCATATGTCAGATTTTAAAAAATTTCAATACGATTCAATTAAAGTGCAATTTGAATTTATGAGAAACGCTTCTGCATGATGGCTCGTTTCTATGTACTTGGCTTCATTATCGTTTTGTTAAATTCATTACGTTTACAGGAAGGTTTGTCAGGGATGAATGTGGAACGCATAGAACACGGGGGCTTTAATTAAATTTGATAATGGAAAAGTTTATTGAGTCGCAGCAAAACTGGTAAGAGAGAGAGAGGGGGAAAGATACGCTAATTGGCCGACAGTTTTGCGTCCAGCTAGCGTGCAGTGTCATAACAAAAAGCGCTACCATCCACCCTTTTATATCTCAAAACGGTGCGCGCACGTTCGCTGCTTGACGGTGAGACGGGAGGTTTGATTTTAATTAAATCATAATGTAGTTTTGCTGGGCGCATAGCTCTGTACACGGCTGCGACTCCAAGGGTCCAACCTCTCCATCGCGCCCGCGTCCTAAAGCGCGCACTACGAAAGCACGTCGTTATCTCAGTTTAGTTCCGGCGTGCTGTTTTCGGAGAAGCGCTGAAACAACGAGGCGCATCGCGATAATGACCGAGGTACTCGGGGTACCATTCGCCACATCTAATTCCTTTAATAAACAAATCTTTATTATACATCTGTACAGTAAAAATGATACAATTATATTCCATAGTCGCGAAATAAAAAGAAATTCTTTTCCTTACTCACTAATGCCCGTCTTTAGTTGTTCGCCGGTGTAGCTATCTTGTATACATCCCATAATTTTCTTTCTTTTGAAGATAAGAAATTTGTCCCATTTTTCTCAGAAAAGAGGGGTTTTGCAATTAACGTCACTTCTGCAATGAAAAAAATTTTTTGTCTGCACAAAATACATGTTCTATCCTTTAACTGGTGGGGAATTTTATAGGCCAGTCACTCACCCTTCGTCGTGTTTTTTTCGAAATATAAATGGTACACCGAACGTGGGTTCACATCGGGTAATACACTAACAATTACGAAAATAAATATTTACTCATGACGGTGGCACAGATTACGTTTGCGTGAAAATATTTCCATTTCTCATAATGCCGGTTGAATGCATAAATGTATTTTGAACTAGTGAATATTAATTAAAGTCAACTCTGTGTAGAATACATGAGGGTGATATTTCACCTTTTCGCTTACCATGTTTCTTAGGGTGAAATGTATTGGACATCATTGGTGCCTTTCCGTATGAATTTGTGCACAATCAACGCATTTGTACATTTGCATATGTGTATATACATGGAAAATGTATATGTGTTCTATACGTGCCTAAATTCATATGGAAAAGCATCAGTGATGCCTAGTATACATAGATACCTGAAACAATGTGGAAAATGTTTTACTAATAATTTCGGGGTCGTTTATTATTTATACATCTTTATTGTCGAGAAACTGAAATTAATTAAATTAAACATTATAATTGAAAAAAAAGAAATAAAGTAAGACAAAAAGTTTCCACTGCTTACAGTATCTGCATAGAAACTTAAGAAAATGTACGTTTATACAATTCTATTTTGTCATCACGACGTTGTTGTACCTTAACAAATTATACTGTTAGTCGCGTTCCACGAGGAATGTTTGCAAAGTCTTCTTCGATTTCCACAATGCACAGTAGATTTACAGAGCAAACAACCGGAAAATACAGATGGAAGGGCATTAGTTAACGTTCGAATAGGAAAATAAGTTACCGTAAAATCAACCAATAGGTATAGCCGTTATTACATCAGGTAGATACCGCATTTTCAAGTATACAACTTATTGTTAGTTCCCCTCCTGCAAAAACTTTGTATATTTTCTTTTGTGCTTCTGCTTGAAGGCACGCACTCTCGCCATGAGGAAATAGTTTTGACAATTGAGATGCAAAGGAAGAGAGTACGAAATAGTTTCTTTGTAGGAGAAGCACCGAAGTAGCCAGCAAACTTCTATTCGAGTTCCGAAGACTGAGTACCTACATATTAAGCTACAAATAAAACTTTATTCTGTAACTAGTTTCAAAATAATACAGATAATAAATATTAGTGGAAAACGGAATTTTTCAGAAATAAAACATAGTTGATTTCAATATTATCGGATTGCTTGTATTATTGTTGCTTCGATCGTTCGATTATGTTTGACCAAACAGTTGTAATACTGCAATTATATTACGATGCTCTTTAATTTTTGAACAATATGTCAGCATTATTGATAGCCAAATTATCTGTCTATTCAGCAATATTATAGCGTTACGCTGTTGGAGATTATTCTGACAAACAAATAGATTCAAGTAAAGAGAGATGAAGAAAGAAAGAGAAAGAGAATGCAAATTTAATATCACAATGCAGTTAAACGATTTAATAGAATTAAATAATGCAATTAATATATGTAATTGATGCGGTCGGGTACATACATTAATATATCATTAAGTGTTAATCTGTTATAATATTCACCGATTTTAATATTATATCAATAATTAATTGGTTAGATTGTTAACGCGATAATTCGATGAGTACAGATTAATAACACCCCTGTTGGGCGAATTGAATTATTAACGAATACCGTTTAATATGTACTAATAATGTTTTGTGTTTTCACTTACAATTAGCCGTACAGGATGTCCCATTTTGTAATGTACAATATATATTAAATAAGTTGAACATTTTTAACACAGCTTCTTTGGTTTTTATTTAATTTGTTATATTCTAGACATATAACAGTATTAAAGTAATATTTAAAAAATTGCTATTTTAAAAGATATTTCATATTTGATATAAGTTAAATCTCAAATAAGTTCAAAATCAAGATATAACTCAGGATATATGTATAAAATATGAAAAGTTTAAATTTTAAAATAAACTATAAAGAATAAAAATATGTGATGTTCTCCTTGAAATTGTCCAAAACATTTTTTGAAACATTTCTATTATTTCTCGGTTATCCGAATGTATTGCTGATAATGGGACATCCTGTATATCTCCAGAGAATATCGATAGACCGCAACAGCCGTTTCTGTTGCCGTTGTCAGAATTTCTATTCCGCGGTCACCATACGGTCAATCAGTGGCTTCGACTCACTTGCGAGCGCTCGCAAGAGTACAAGTTGAACTTGTTTAAAGACAAAGATTTGCTTTGGTTAGCGTACGTCAGCAAGCAACGCAAAATATGTTCGGAATTCTCAGGTTGCTAGAAACATGAATAATTATTAAAGCAAGTTACGTAAAGTAACGTTGCATTTATTTGTTACATCCGCTTTCTATCTCTTTCTCTTATTCATAATATTGTAATTGATCTAAAGTGTTTAAAATAGATTATGCTATGATCTTACTAAAATTACAGATTTAAAAGGATAAAATATTATCTATATTTAAACAAAATCTATACTTATTTATACTTGAGGGGTCTTGCGTGTGACAGGGCCTAAAGTACGGAGATTTTTGGCGAATTTTTATAAGGAAAACTACTAAACCAATTGGTTTACAACTTTTCCTATATGTTGTACTATATTTCAAGAGTACTTAGAATATTTTTATAGATAGAATATTTAAAAGAAAGAAGAGCATGCAATAGAGCATTTTTAATATTTTTTTCAAAAAGTTACGTCACTGAAAATTTATATGAAATCTTTTCTTAAAAATTGAAACGTTTGTCAATAAATAATAAATAAGTAATTAGAGTTAACGAAGTTAACTG